CACATACACCGGAGCTGGCAGGTTCGAATCCAGCCCAGGCCTGCCAAACAACAATGACAACTACAACCAAAAAATAGCCAGGTGTTGTGGTGGGTGCCTGTAGTCCCAGCTACTTGGGAGGCTGAGGCAAGAGGATCGCTTAAGCCCAAGAGTTTGAGGTTGCTGTGAGTTGTGACGCCACAGCACTCTACCCAGGGCAACAGCTTGAGACTCTGTCTCAAAGAAAAAAACAACAACAAAAAAACCCCGATACTTCAATATGGGACTGGTTGCTTGAGCTACTAATTAAACTAACATAAACAGGACAAGTCTTCTGCTTCTTCAAAACGAGCACCCAGGCCAGGTGCAGAGAGATTTACCCTGCCAAAGTGCATGTCCAACAGAAACCAAAGCGGAGCTAGTGCTAACTCCAAATATAAGTGAGACAAAGCATTTTCTCCCATAAATCAGTAGCTTACACAGCTATTTCTCCCACAAATCATAGCCCACACACAGAAGAAGTCTTCAAAGTTGTTGAAATGTGAACTATGTTCGACACCTGTAATTGGGTAGCAGTGAGCACTGTTTCCAGGTTAGGGTGCCCTTACCTTACTAGGACACTGAGGGCTCCAAGTGGAGTCACTAGCGTGGCTGGTGCAAACGCATATGCAGCGAAGTTGGCCACCTCACCAGCTCCCACTTAGAGAGACAACAAAAGAAAAGTACTCAAATAGGAATATATGTATTTAACTTAGAAATACTTGCATTTTATGTAATATCTATATATCATTTCCACTGTATTTAGTAATTTCCACTTCTTTTCCTATCTATTAGAGAATGAGTCAGTAAATTTCTAACATTAGAATAGAGTCTACATCAATTACAAATAACCCACATTTATAATTTTAATGTTAATAATTTTTTATTTTTATTAAATCAGTTGTATACACTACAGTAATCATGGGAAAAATTTTAAATAAATATTTATATTGCAGGACAACAAATACAAGTTACTTAACAGCAGCCCACACTGACACGAAGGCCCTCCCTGCAAGTGTCTTTCAATGGCTCCTCCTGTAAAAAGCCCAACTCACAATATATGCCAGGTCCTGTTCTCAGTCAGGAAATACAGCAGGCAACAAAGACACCACTCTCATAAAACTTTTACTAAGAGAAGACAGACAACCCAAACACACATGTCAGGAAGTCAGAGTGCTAGGAAGAGGCCAGGCGGGCACAGCAACTCACACCTGTAGCCCCAGCTACAGGGAGGCTGAGACAGGCGGATCCCTTGAGCCCAGGATTCAAGGTTGCAGTGAGCTGTCCTGCCACCACAGGACTCCAGCCTGGGCAACAAAGTGAGAAGCCCTGTCTCTTTTTTCTTGTTTAGAACAACAAATACAAGTTATTTAATCACTCTGGTGGAGTGCTGTGGTGTCACAGAGCTCTAGAAGCCCTGTCTCTTAAAAAAAAAAAAAAAAAAAAAAAGTGCTTTGAAGAAAAGCTGAGCAAGGGGAAAGAACAAAGTGCAGGTGAGGGGAAGGTGTTAGATAAGAGCTCTCTGATAAGAGACTTTCTGAGGAGTTGGAAATTAAGTCCCTTTTCCACCAAGGACTTTGTTGGAGTTGAAAAGGCGCTGGGTGGCTCGGAGCCTGTGGCTCAAGCAGCTAAGGCGCCAGCCACATACACCTGAGCTGGCCGGTTCAAATCCAGCCCGGGCCCGCCAAACAACAATGTTGGCTGCAACTGCAACCAAAAAATAGCCAGGCGTTGTGGTGGGTGCCTATAGTCCCAGCTACTTGGGAGGCAGAGGCAGAATTGCTTGAGCCTAGGAGTTGTTGTGAGCAGTTGATGCCAGAGCACTCTACCCAGGGCAACAGCTTGAGACTCTGTCTCAAAAAAACTAAAAAGAAAGAAAGAAAAAAGGTGCTGGGGAGGAGCTGATCTCATAAAAGGATCCCCCTTGGCTGTGTTTTCTAAATGGTTAGGCCAATTTTTACTCAGCGGTGAACGTCTTCTGCTGGACTGTGGGAATACGGGATTATTGCATTTAGCCTTCATGTGCATTTCTCATTTCCATTTGCCGGATGAAATCTTTTAGGGAAGTAGCTGTTCAACTTTATCTCCTATCTTTTAGATTGTTTTTCTTGGCATGAATCTTGTTGAGTAAGCATGTGAGTTATCCTCTTTCATACTCTGCATTTCCCTTTTAATTGTGTTAATAAACTCTTTCCCTTTTGACCTCTAAAATGTCTCCTATACCTGACTTGCTCCTATGATATGTAATCAGAATTTATCTGCATTCTCAAGTATCTTTTATCCAGGATACTCTCCCATCCCCATTTATCCATAACACTGAGTTCTTTTAAGGGGGAGAAGTCCCACTTTCTGGATTTTGTCTTACTGCTTCCATTGCCTACGGGGCATCTGTTTGGCAATTCAATTTTCTAGTCTTCATTGCTGTAAAAAACAATTTATCATTCCATTCTTTCCTCCATAATGAGGAATTACACTTCTCTTTTTACTAGAAAATACAGCACATATCTCTAACCTGTGGGGTCTATAATGTTAATGTTTACCTCTACTCTCCTTCCTGATAATGTCAGAACCTTAGAAACCTTTAATTTATTCATTTACCTTTTATCTATTAAACCTACCAATTTATTTGCTGCGAATCTGCAATGTTACTGCAGTCTAGTTCCTTGTAGTAAGCATGGTTGTGGTATTGTGTAATACTGTACATTTTAAAATTTCACGTGTAGATATTTAAGTCCATGAGCCATTTCTTATTACTTTTCTTCATCAGCACTCTCTCAGATGTACTCACAGACTTACTCCCTTCCTGTATCTCTGAACTTCCACTTAGATCACTTTCTTTTCTGCTAACTGAACACCGTTTTAAATTGGCTTTAGTGAGGTTACACTGTCAGTTGGTCTACTTTTATTCCTGAAGGATATTGTTACTGAGTAGAGGATTCTACTGCCAACTACATTCTCAGCACTTTGAAGCTTGTTGCTGATAACTAAGCTGTCAGTCGGACACTGTTTTACTCTGACTGCTTTGAGATACTCTGTCAGTTTTACTATGATGTGTTTAGGCCCAGTTTCCTTTTCAGGGATTCTTCACTGGTTTTGTGGGGCTTCTTCAATCTGTGGTTTGAATACCTGGTCAGTTTTAGAAAATTCTCAGCCATTTTCCCATCAAAAATCTCTTCTCCATTCTGTGTGTCCCTTCTTACTCTAAAACTCCAATGGTGTACTAGATCCTTTATGTTCCACAACCTTCCTTTTGTCTCTGCTTGCTTCATTCTAGATAATTTCTTCCAGACCACCTCCAGTTCACTATGTCTTCAGCCATACTAAACCTACAGTGAAGGCAATTCCATTTTCACTC